AAGGCCTCCATATGGCAATGGCGTTAGGAGACTCCCATGTCCATCGTCGGTTTCGGCTCATTTCGAAAAATGAATTTCCATGAATGCGACATGCTGCAAGAATCATCCAAGACAGTTTCCATTCTCATCTTACTTGATAGTTGATACTAGAACAGCCCGCCCTCACTGCTTGTACGGACCCCAGCATAATCACCATTTATCGGAGATTTGCTGGTTAAGCCATTGTGGTTCCCTGGAATCCCGAGGTCAGCCTGGCCGAAGTCTGTCTCAGGTCTTCACCACCAAGGGCAGTCGCAGACCTTGTGAATCAGAGAGAGATTTGCCAACATGCGAGTTTGATACCAGGACGATGGTGGATTCCGGTATTGGTTAACTCTTAGCTAGGCCTCCTGATAGAAACGCCGGACTCCTTCTCAGCTCTATACATCGCAGTCCGACACCCAGGAACACCTCCCAGCCACGATGAGGCGATAAACCGTTGGGAGGATCCATTCTCATCTCATCTCATCTCACCTCATCTCATTTTTTACTCTGAATTTTCCTATCCTGTATTGGTCGTTCCTAATGTAGCACCGAAGGCTCTAACAAGGAATTTATAAAACAATTTCTCGTTGCATACCACTCCTTCAACTGGTTGTAAAACGCGTTCAGTTCGCTATCTTCAGTTGTACAAACTGGTGAGTGACAGTTGATGATACTGATTTTCTTTCAACGCGCAAGTTGGAGACAGAGTATGGCCAAGAATGAAGGATAAAATTTGTATGAGGTGACCCATTGGGAAACAAATGAGTGTATGACGAAGGTGATGCCACCGACATTCCGCAGCGGAATATTTCCTCCAAGAATAATGTGGGTTCCGTTATCTAACTGACGTATGTCGGTATTCCCCTTTTGCCTTTCGTAAGGTGATTACACATAATTCGATGCGATCAGCAGCCTCAAGAAGAGCGTAATAGTCGGCAACTGAAGAGACTGTTCTGGTGCTACAGGTGCACAGGAAGAAGCAGTCTCTACGGTGTGTCGTTGGAGTGTTCGTTTCGCCTGTTGTCAGTAATGTCCTGTGCAGTCTGAGATTTCATCACCTCTCATCGGTTGTTTCATCGCTCGACGTCGTAGACTGGAGCTCCCAGTTTGCGCGTTGCTGGAGCCGGACATTTGCTGGTTTTGCCACTGTGATTTCCTGGAGTCCCGAGCTCAGCCTAGCCGAAACCTTTCTCAGGTCGTTAGCACCGTAGTCAGCCGCTGCCCTTGTAGATCAGAGGGATGTTAGCAACCATGAGACTTGTTTGATACTAGGACGATGGTGATCCTTGGTACTGGATTACCCTCAGTTAGGCCTACGGATGGAAAGGCAGGACTCCTCTCATCCTGGAAGGCCTTGTTGGGTAGACGGACCCTATCCAACGGTGTGCTACCTCATCGTGGTTCGGAGGTGATACTAGCGGTCGGGCTGCGATATACTTTTTTGATAATGAACAGCAAATGCAAATAACAACTATTTCGTGCAAAAAATAGAGTCCTGTTTAACAAACTAAGAGTAATCAATGGCATCACCTGTCACCTTCCACCTGTAGTCCCGTTGATCGTCGAGTGACTCAAGCGGGCGGCAGTAAATCTTCCATTATTCCCTGTCGCGCGAAAGAGTAGCCCAGTGGGTTCTGCTCGCTCTAGGGACTCGTCGAGAATCATACCTTTCTTGAAGGTTCTTTGTGAAGAACTCTGACTATGGGGTCGGTGGTGTTTCTGCAGTACGTTTGGCATCCCGAGGAATCCAGTCACTAACGGCTCTTGTCCATCGGTTGTCATTCATTCGCACTACGTGTTTAGCCTAAATTATCTTCGACTGTTTGGCATACAAAACGGCATCTTTGATTTTTGGTCGTTGACGCAGATCGGAGCACAGGATCATATCCTTTACTTATGTGGAATGGGATACTCCTAGCATTGCCCTTTCGACTGCGCTCACTAATTATTTATCCTCCTTACGCAGCCACCAGGTTTCCGACGAGTACGTTAACGCAGGAAATGCCGTTGATTCGAAAAGGTGGGCGCGGAGTCGGGTGTTCTTTGTTCTCCTCACTACATCCCCCAATGCTCTTAGAAGCTCCCCAAGTCGCTCGTTCCCTTCTGCTCAGTGCTTTGGCTAGGTCATTCATCATAATGATTTTCCGACCTAGATAGATATAACTGGAGCATTCTGAGAAATTCGTTCCGTTGAGCGCAAATGGGGCATGCGAAACCAACCCGTTCTTCATGAACATCGTTTTTGTGAGGTTTAGTCGAAGACCAATCTTTCCACAGGCTTTATCACAGTCGCCAAGCATGCGTTCCGCCTGGCTAATGTTTGGTGTTATAAGGACGATGTCATGAGCAAAGCGAAAATGGTGTAACTACCGACTACCGATTTTCACTTCCATATTATTCCAATGTTCGCATGACGGTCTAGAGGGTGGCGGTAAATAATTTCGGCGAGATGGCATCGCCTTTCCTAACTCCCCTTTTGACTTCAATGTTAATATCGTTGTAGAATGGTGATATCTTGGTTGTGAATTTTTTGTACAGGTCACGAAGAATCTTTATGCACTGAGTAGGGACTCCTTGACTATCAAGGGCTTCCAAGACTGCTTCAATCTCAATTGAATCGAAGACCTTCTGTGAAACGATGAAAGTGAGACAGAGCTGCCTTTTGTACTCTCGCGATATCTCCATGAACTTTGTTACCGTGTGGATATGGTTCATCATACTAAATCCTCTTCGAAACCCTGCTTGCTTACATGGCTGTCCATCGTCTAGTGCTCTGTCAATCCTGTTTAGGATGACTCGAGTGGAAAGTTTGTAGACGACAGACAGTAAACAGATTGGGCGATAGTTGCCGATATCGTGCGGGTCACCCTTCTTGAACAATAACACGGTCCTGCTGGTCTTCCACTGAGTAGGGACCTTGCATTCAGACAGGTAACGTGTGAAGAGCCAAGCCATTGTGTTTACGAGGACTGGCGGAAGGTTCTTCAGGTGTTCTGGTCTTATCCTATCTGGACCTGGTGCTGTTCGATTTTTCACCGACGAAGTGGCATATGGGATTTCGGAAGGGAGAACTGGTGGTACAACATATCCATTCTCCTTTATTTCATATGACGTAAGATGGACATGGCTATCGAGGAGATCCGAGTAGTATTCGTGAATAATTTTCTCCATTGCCTTTCTAGACACTGTAACTGTTCCGTCTGGGCGTCGGAGTGCAGTCATTTCGGTCTTGTAATTGGCGAAGCTTCGGTGGGCTTTGCGAATGGTTTTCCCAGCCTCTGCAGCTTCGGTCATTACTGCTGCTCTTCTCTCTCTAAGATCTTCTTTTATCGCTTCTCTGAATTGTTTTGCAAGTTCAGACGTTAGTTCGCGGTTGCCTGCTGCTCTTGCGATTTCACGCTGACGTATCAGCTCGAGCGTTTCTGGAGACAGACGTCCTTTGGTGACTTTCGAACTCTGAGGTTTCACAGCGCCAGCGTGAAGATGTTGAATGAGTCCATCATATTCTTCGTCGATGTTATCGACAATGGCATCTTCCCAACCGCCGACTAATGAATTGGATAAATCCCAGTTTACGGTAGTTCTGGGACTTCGATTTTTGAATTTAGCGGCTTTTTCTTCTTTCCGCGAGAAATAGAACCTTGCACGAAGGAGAAGGTGGTCTGATCTCGTGTAGAATTTTGGGACAACAGCGTTACCGGTTAGGCAAAACCTTCTATTTACTATGATGTGGTCTACTTCGTTATGGTGCTCTCCATTGGGAGACTCCCGCGTCCAGCGTTGAGGGTGGGGCTTCTCGAATTGCGAGTTACCATGGATGGTCTTGGTCGCCATGATAAACTCAGAGAGCCGCTCACCCTGTTCGTTCTATTCTAATCCGTGGGTCCCAATGTGACGTTCTTCAGACGTTCTTCTTGGTCCAATCTCGGCGTTGAAATCTCCAGTGATGATCTTGAAGAATATATGGTCTTCTCTGTAGAACGTCTCCAAGTCCATATAGAACGCTTCGACTTCTTTTTCGTCATAGTTTGATGTCGGCGCGTAAACGACGAAGATTGTCAAAGCCGGAATTGATCTACGTCTTTTCAATCGTAAACGTCCGATTCGGGTTGTAAGTTGTTCGAATGAATATGTTCGTGGACATACTTGTGTTGACGAAAACGCCGACGCTGCCGACTCCTCTACTGTCGCATGTTCTGAGGAACATTTCTTCTCCGGTGTCATGGATGGCGTTGAAAAGCCTGCGTCTTCTCGTCTCGGCCAGGCCGATGATGTCGTACCTTATCCTTCTTGCTTGCATGAGCAAGTCTTCCATCGAGGATTCGGATGCAAGTGTACGTGCATTGTAGGTACAGATCGTCACCATAGTTCTTTGAAATCCAGGTAACTTCCATTGGCCCTGATATTTTAGCAGCCTCTCCGTACTTCTCCTACCCAACGCTGCGAAATTGGGGGGCTCTTTCGGGGTATGGGAACGAGGGCTATTTTTTTCTGTGTTTAGCATTTTGATACCCACGTTATAGCTTGCTGAGCTCTGAACGTGGAGGCTGGTTATACTCACGAGTAGCTTTCCAGGCTTTTCCAGAGTGGAAGTGGAGCTTATTTGTTGGAGGCCACTCCTGACTACCTCGTATGTACTTCCCAGTCACTTGATTGCAGGCTTTTGGCCGAATTGACTCGTAGAATACAATCCGCATAAGCAAGAACGCACCCACACACTCATGCATGAATACGCCTAGCAAATACAGAAAGTATGTGCCAAATCAGCTCACCAGAAACAGGGAGTCTATCCCCTGGATCCACCTTCGTCTCAAGGAAGCAAAGGTCGCTTTTGGTCCGCGATTAACCCCCATCCGCCACCTGGGGACGTGCCACGTAGCCTCACGACTAACCGGCTCGAGACCCCTTATGTGAGGGAGGTCGATGGATGTTATAAAAAAATAATTTTATTGTAATATACAAAGAAATGAAGTGTCTCACTTCTTTCCTTTGAGCTCCGGTAACTTGCCACTGATCAACGCAGCCAAGCCAACAGCACCACCACCTTCGACTACGGCCTTAAAGGTTTTCAAATTATTGTTATTTAGCATTTCCTTCATTTAAGCTAGTGCCCATTTCTTATTGTACTTATGAGTTGAATTTTACGGAATGACAGCGTTTAGCGCAATGAGCAGAGGTGCCGTGTAATGCACGCGTGCTCGATGGTTTGATCTCTCGTCATAGGCAAACAAATTCATACATTCTTTCTTGGCCAGCGTATTGGCACCCGACTTGTGTGTGACGTGAAACTTAAACAGGCGTAAAGAAGTGACTGCATAGGCGAAATATGGACTCAGTCAACTTTACAATATTACGAATGGTGTTGAATTCATGGCGCACCCTTAAGTTCCCGCATCGACGAGCATTTCATCCTTTATTCTTTCATAACAGCAACAACGATAGAAAAGATCACTCACCTTTTCCATTTCAATGAGTCTGAGGATACTTAGTGCTGTGAATTCTTCACACACGGTCACCGTCCGGTCAACAAGGCCTTGAACAGATGCCAGAGCGTTTCCGCCAACTAGAGGCACTGCCAAGCCTTTGAAATTACTTTTGAGAATTTCGCAAACTTATAATTACACCAAAATACTACTGAAGTTCTCAATATGTAATGAAGCTTTTGAAGGGAATCGACAGGCAAGTAAATCTTGAGCAGCAGATGCACGATAAAGGCAGAAAAGGTTTTAAAAATCAAAGAACGTAGTGGCAACTGAAGTCATATGAAAACTTGTTTATCGATTTTAGCACAGAAAAGGACACTGAGAGATGAAAGGAAGAAAAGATTTTCTTTACTTGAGAATAAGTAAACTTTTCACCAGTTAACCAGTACAGTGTGTTTAGAAATCTTTTCTAGAGCTTTGTTGTAATTCCCTGACTTCATTTCCATTTTCAGTAAAACAGTGCGATTCGTCTGAATATCAGCTTGTGAAAGAAAACTTAGAAAGGAACGTCCGTCCTGTGCGAAAAGAAAAGGGAAAACTGGAAAACGTGAACTGTTGCCAATGTCTCAGACCTGAGGTGGATCATTCTTTAGGGAAAAAAAGGTATTTTTCAAAACGCTTAAGGAGTTTTTATCTTGTTTTTAGTCTGCAAATAAAACATATTTTAAAATGGACTTTCATTATGATTTAGAAGGAAAGGTCATTTGAAGAAAATCCACGGATAGGAATTCGCCCTTGTCCTAGGAAGTTTACTTTGAGGGCGAATCAAAATCACTCCCAAGTTTATGAAGATTTATAACAATGGTTTTTTATAATAAGAACGGAAGCATTACTGAGGGCAACTTGAAAAATTTCTAAGCCCGGTTCAGAAACTGAAGGAAGAAGAAAGTAAAGAGAAAGCATTTTCTACGACTTTGTAATATGAAAATTGAAATAGAGTCAAAAGGCTAGTTAAAATGATTATCTCTACAGCCGTATGCTAGAAAGGGTACTTTGTACAGAAGATTTTTTTTGGCTAACATTTATAAGAAGAAGTGCTTACCGTCAGCCAGACTACTTCGAGCATTGACTGGTACTGGTTTGCCAACCTTGTAGGCTTCTGTGAAAGCCGCACACGTCTCGGACTCTACTGCCTGGGAAAAAACATGGGTAAAACATCCTAAAAATGCTACAAATGCTTAATATGAGTGTTTGCTTCTTTAGGAAATATCTGCACTACAACTTACATAGACCGCTGAGCGTGGCACAAAAGTTTATATTAGGGAAGTATTATAGGTCACACATTCATTTTTGAGAGAAATAAAAAAATGGTTCTTTGTAAATTTCATGTGAAGCGAGATCCTTCTATTTAATATCACGAATCTTCGCATAACTTCTATAGAAAGTGTCTACTATAAAAGCAAAAGACGTCTAACGTGATAATGAGCGCTATTCATCGATGTGACGCAATCAAGTTGCTCTCTTATCCTCGTCTAGCTGATCGACGAATCACAAGAACCGCTACAGTGTTGGAGCAATTCTAGTTTTATGTCAGGAAATATCCTTTCGAGAAACAAATGATGGGTATTGGCTGTAATGAAAACCTAAGCAAATTCATTTATGACTATGAGGAGATTCCATGAAATCGCTCATTAGATTACTACTCAGCATGTTTGTAAGAAACGAAGACTGTGGATCCTCAAGTCCTATGCCAAGTTACGTACTAATCTAAACATCTTTATGGACGTCGGTTGGAGTACAGTAATACCAAAGGAAAAAGCGTTTGGACCTTCGCGTCAGTGAAACCAGGTGTATAAGGACGGGCTATCTAAGCAAATACTTATAAAAAGCAAGGTTTTAAACGGACACGATCTTTCTCAAAGTTGTGCGTTAAAGCACCATCAAACATGTTTCTGTGAAGATTCTTGGTCGATTTTGTATCTACAAGTAAAGCTTACAGGATATAGCGTTCGGCGTTTGCTTAATCCACGGATGTTATGTGCCATGCATTTTACTCCACTAACCATCGTAGAGGTTGCCGAATAAAATATCCGGCCCATTAGGTGACTTGTGTGGACCCATCGAGATATGAAGCCAAGGCTTTTGCTTTCTGAGAGAAGTCTGTACCAATTAACCGACCTTTATAGGATGGAGACCTTGTTTTGCGCGGCTTAACAGATGGAATCAACGATCACGGATGTTTTGAGGAGAACTTCTACCACCTGCTACTGAATACCAAGAAATGTCGACAAAAAGTTTTTTAGAAAAACTCAATTATGAGTTTTTGGACTCACGAAATGGTAGAGAAAGAGTTGCCATATCGTAAACTGAAGAAGTGAGCACAAACGAGGTGGATCAGTTGTCCCCAATTAGATCCATGATTCAGTTGATTCCGTCGACGAAGTTTTCCTTCAGACACAATTGCTATAGTCATAGTAATGTTTGAAATCGTCTAAAGTTGTTAATAAGAGGCGTAGTGGAAACCAAGTTTCTGTGTGAAGCTTTTCTTTGATAGGACTCCATTGTGCATGGAGGTAAGTGCAAAGCTTTCTCACAGCATTTTTATATTCTGTCGAGAGCTATTTAACATAAGTTTTGCATTAGATGAAACTTGTGGCAAGATGCTGATTCTGCTTTATAGATTACAAAAATCTATTTTTGGAAGGGGTCCTTTTGCGGGAGAGAACATAGTTGTTGGAGATGTCCTACACCAAGAGTATGACTGCTGTCGATGGTGAGAAATGACTCTGCTGAACTCCTATCCTTCGACACTTAAGAAGAGATTCACATGGCCATGACAAGATGATAAACCACTAAATGAGATATGCTTAATGTAGCTTATAATTTGTTCCAACGCAAGACAATTTGCTTCAGGAAGATTCACCGCAACCGTTTATTGGTGTTTCAAATATTGCTCTCAAGAAAATTATTTCTAGAACTCACAATATACACACATGCAACTTTTGTTGCAAGTTAGATTATTTATCAAAGATGGACATTAGTATGACGAATTTTCTTTGCCGAAGATGCACACTTTGTGTTACCACCAGTGAAGTAATCCAGAAAGTAATCATTTATACAATGGTTACATCTAGTGCGTCATATCTAGAACGTTTTGGAGCGCATTTACAATCGCAATGGCCTGGTTCCACCTTCTAACATATTAAACATCGTCAACATGTTCTCAGCACACTAGCGGATTTTCCGAAAATGAATGAGAAATCAACAGTGTTAGAGCACTCCTGCCTCCGTAGTAGATGTTCACTTTGAAGTCTTTCAGCAAGATCCTTTACACCTTTTCATTATAAACCTTCTTTACCATTTCAAGAACTGTCTGTGGTAATGGCTTGCAGCCATCTATGGCCTTAGTGGGCTAGTATAAAGAATTCTATCCATTATTACAAACTGTCTCCATATTAGTGATTTCCTTCTCATTTTTAGTACTCAACGCTATGATAAAACTCCGATCCTGTTGTGTTACCCACTGTCCTCTTCTTAGGTTCAAGTGGATCACATTTTTTTCTCTTTATGAATGCCAACAAAGCGAGTATTTCTTTGCACTAACTTCTCGGCCAATAAGAAATTTGCATACTAATTACTGTTATAGCCTTTCATCATTCAGCAAATCGTAGACAACGCTCTTCACTGATACTGAATTCTCTAGCTATGGGGGAATACTTCCAGGATACACGAAAACTCAATAGGTGTAGCTTTCACTCAAACACAGCTTGAACAGTTTTAGTCCGGACTTATGTCTGTTATGTAAGATATATTAGCGGATGGCGACTTCAACACTGAACTCCAACGAGAATTCCTTAAATCGCCGAAACATACGTTCTTACCAGGTTTGCATATCCTACAGCAGTTCCTACTGACAAGCTGGATTAGCAGTCAGTCTAATTCTGTACAGCCTACCTTGGCTGTAATACACTTCGTTATGTACGAAATAAATCGACGCTCTTGATATCCTTCTTGAGCAAACACGAGGTGTTACTTTATTCTTCATTCCGTTAAAGCTGACGTTTCGGCGGATTTCGCCCTCTTCAGAGCCTGGAAGGGTATATTGACAGGCAATTTACTAAGTCACACGCTCCGATAACACATACAGAAAGATGAAAACCTAAAACGCAATCAAACGATCAACAGCTTCTCGAAAAAAACCCACCATTTATTACGTGCCTTCCACTGAGGAAGAACAGCTGATCACAGTCGCACATGGTCGATAAATGCACCACCCCACATCAAAAGTCAATGCTAAGGTACGGAGCCAGATCACGTGTGATCTCCAGGCATTCCTTCCTGCTGTTCATTCTAGGGTTCCTGGCATTTATCCAAAAAACCTCAGGAAGTTTGCGCGTTGGTGTTTTAGTCTTCTATGCGAAGGTATTCACTTTCATTTCAAAATCGTCTCCGCTATGCTTTTGTATGCTATGCGTCCTTAGTGGGGGTACTTAGTCTTCCTTACGTCTGCCATCTAACTGTTCCTTTATGCGGATACATAAAAGTCTCCCGCTTCACCAATATATTCATCTCCGCAAATACTACAAGAGATCAGGTATGACGTACCTGAACTCATGCAGTCACCGTTCTTGCCGCAAGGGCAAATTACGCAGCTTTGTATTTCGCATAGACAGTCATATAGTCGGTTACGAACTAATTGAAAACGAAGGTAATCTGTGAAGATGTTCAAAAATTTATTAAATGCAGCAAAGCGAAAGCTTGGAAATGTGTACGCTATTGGGCAGAGTCACGGGCGCCTGAACGTAGCCCTTCCCCTGCGAGCCCTGTCAAGTGCCGCGCTGCGACCGCAGTCGCCACCTCACCTAACCTCGAAAAATCGGTGTTTTTGGCGTTTTTTGGGCTTAAAAGTCGTTTTTGAGCGATTTCCTTGCGCTGCCTCCCCTCCATCCTCTCCCACGCAAACCCCCATATTGGAGAAATTCCCTATGGTAATAACCAATTCTTAAAAAACCTAGAAGTTCGGCTAAAATGACGAAAATGTTCGTTTTTTTCACCCTCTTTAAGTCTGTAGAAATTCATGCATGCTAATGACGTGGGTCCACAACACGTCATACTACTGTGGTAAATCGCCTTAGATGATGCGTGGAACCGGCAAGAAATTTAAAACGAAATATACTCCATATTGATCCTGAGACATTTGAAAAACTCCGTAAAAAAACAAAGCAGAAACAAACGAAGGACCCGCATGGTATGGTGGTGAATGCGTTTGTCCCCGAAAAGAGTAATGACGCGTTCGTTCCTCATCGCAGATACCTGTGGTCTGGAATTTTGTAGATATTTCAGCATCATTGTGGTTGTATCACACATAATACCCCTCCGTGAAAAATTGTAGTAGGCGGCAAGTAAAAAAATAGTCAGCCCTTGTATAGCCGTATAAAGGAGCACCTAGATGGCAAATGAAAAGCAAGACAAAGTATTCCAATAGGCTCGCAAAGGATACAAAAGCATAGCGGAGACGATTTTGAAGTAAAAGTGAATACCTTCGCATAGAAGACTAAAACACCAACGCGCAAACTTCCTGAGGTTTTTTGGATAAATGCCAGGAACCCTAGAATGAACAGCAGGAAGGAATGCCTGGAGATCACACGTGATCTGGCTCCGTACCTTAGCATTGACTTTTGATGTGGGGTGGTGCATTTATCGACCATATGCGACTGTGATCAGCTGTTCTTCCTCAGTGGAAGGCACGTAATAAACGGTGGTTTTTTTTCGAGAAGCTGTTGATCGTGTGATTGCGATTTAGGTTTTCATCTTTCTATATGTGTTATCGGAACGTTTGACTTAGTAAATTGCCTATCAATATACCCTTCCAGACTCTGAAGAAGGCGAAATCCGCCGAAACGCCAGCTTTAACGGAATAAAGAATGAAGTAACACCTCATGTTTGCTCAACAAGAATATCGAGAACTATTTCATCAATGCCGAGGTTAATAGGAAGTTGGTCGTGGGATTAAATGGACGTTTGCTAAAAATAAAACTACAAATCTGTCTCATATTATAACATAGGGTTTAGCAATATAGTACGACTGAACAGGACTGAAATTCCAATAATTCCTCAATTGTGGCAGCCTAATAACTCCCATCTTGAAGCAAAGAGTTACGAGTTTTTCCATCTTGTCAACATTTTCAGGCTCTAAGCGTGCACTCTTCTGTGCTCCTTATCTAATCGTCTCGACCATAATCATCTCTCAACTGTCTGTTGTTGATAATCCGTAAAAATCCAGCGGTTTTGTGCACTGGAGCAAAACTGCAGTTTGACCGCTCGCTGCTGACGTCATCAAAACATTTATCCTCGTGCTATTCACTTCCTTCAAACATTTCAGTGAGAAAGGCTGGAGACTCCAAATTGTCTTCCACATCTCCAGCTTCCACGCTGTCCCTGTAGAACAGGAGTTGAAGCATGCCTTTTTTTCGACCTTCTAACACGCATCCTCATAGAGCACAAATCTCTTCTGTATGTCTTCTAAGTGCTCAAAATTTAAAGTTTTCCAGATATCGAAGGACATTTTGGTGTAATAGCAAACTACCATCATGTGAGCCGCTAAATCTGCGGTTTCTCACAAATAATTCGCTGTTTCCCTACGTCCAGTTGATGACGATTGATCATAGGTATTGGTTGCATCAGAGCGTGTGTGGCGAATTGGTTGGAAGCGTCACTGCGACACACACGTGGAATCGATCCCCACTCCCATGGCCCACTAAGCCTTCCATCCCTCCAAGGTCGGAAAATTGGTACCAGACTTCTCTGGGAGGGTAACAGAACTGGCTCGATATATCGGTAGGCTACCGCAAGTCATTGTAAAGGCGAGGTATGCATTCAATCACCTATAACGATACTTAATGAAGTCGGATGAGTGGCGCATCACTCAGGGACTGATCAAACCCGAGGGCTTTTTTTATCGGTTATATTCGGCGGATATAACGAAAGGCAGTCGACATAAGTTGCAAAATGCATCCAAATACTGACAACGATGTGATCTGTAGGATGAGGAACATAGCAGAATATAGTGAATAGAGTAACATGTTCACTTCTAGAGTGATAAAGCTAAGCCTCTTCTATATTGTACCATGTTCTATGTTCCTCAGCTCTCTTAACTATAGAAAAATTATGGCTCACTGTCGAAGAAACGGCATTATTCGTTTTAGAACATTTTAATGGCCAATAAGTTTTACTACTTGTTCAGCCAGCATGAAATGGTGAGTCGTCAAACGTCGTGACGGTCAAGAAAAAAAATTTGAACCTCGGGGGCCACGTTTGCACTAATGCACTCCTTACGTAAATGCTGAAAAAGTTGCATTGCATAAAATTTTTTTGCTGATAATATTGTGTTAATAAGAATTGAAGCACGAAGTAGATGAAAGTAGATGACTGAATAAACTCACGATGATTTTCACCGCTGGTTTAAGCGTTTTTACAGCGACGGCTACACCGGCAATCAAACCACCTCCTCCGACTGGTACTATGACAGCTTCAACGTCCGGCACCTATATGTCGAATATCCAACTTTGAACGAATTGACAAAGGCCCACCTGACTTTGAAAAAAGCATTTTGCGCTGTTTCTAACTGTTACTAGCGATACCAGAGGTTTTGCCAATGGTTCCTCATCATTATTATTTTGCATTTGGTTCTACGACATTCTCTGACTCCTAGGACGAACTTTGAACTACAGTTTCGAATTTTATTAATTGTAAAGGGCAGTGTCTTAAAACCAAGCAGTGTTACAGTTTCTAGTTTTTATTTGTTTTCTACACGACCAGTGATCACATCTATTGTGCGGATCTCAGCACTCTTGTATTCGACTCGTTTGGTCACCCACAATGGTCTTCGAAAATTTGGCGTGTCGTTTCAGATGTTACTTAGGAACTTTTCTTCTTTATGAATGTTTTGAGTGCTAGTAGAGTCATTTCTTTTTGCAATCTTGGAGATAGCCTAGCCTAAGGGGTTCCACGTAGGTTGGAGGAGTGCATGGCGGGTGGATCGAACTAGCAGCTTTGCTTGATGATCCATGGCATCACTTACCACTGTTCCATCCCTTTTCCAACCCTTAATAAAAACTGAAAATGACAACCTATGACTAAAAGAAAAAATCGTTCGGAGGTGATCAAATAGCTGAAGATGCTGCATGCAATCGGTCCCATTCGCAGTATCGCAGAGGTTACTGACTGCGAATTTGACCTCTACAACGATTTTTAGGGTCTGTTAATGCATCAAGCCAGTGTTTTTAGATTTCCAGAAAATGGATGAGGAGACTAGTTAGCCTATAGCGAATGGTTAAACTGATGTGGGCGAGTACCTCCAGCCAGTGTCCATCTGCCTGAGGAAAAATTGACGACTTCTGGGCTTCTTCAAGTCAATGTATGGACCAAAAATGCATTCGATCACCTCAACGATGTCTAATATTAGGATAAAATAACATGGAGTATCATTCAGGATTTTGTCAATGACGAACATCTCATTCTGCAGAATTAAAGTAAACAGGTAACGCCTTTATTAGTTGCTAAAGTATTTAGGAATCCGCATCTATTTCATAAAAAAGAAAACTGATCTTAAAACTAACTTGCTCAAGAATTTCCAGACCAATCGTTCCTTGTCCGGCCAGAATATTTGGAGCGTCATAGCCATTGATATACTTGTAATTCTTTTCCATTGCTAGTCTCATCGCATGCTCTTTTGCCTAAAGGATGTACGTGAAACGAGTCCAATACCTAGTCATAAAAAATTAAACAATAAGAAGGCTTGTGACTAATGAGCCATTTTTGTTTTGCCAACGAAGAGTAGGGCGGGTGTGGCGCAGTGGTCTGAGGAATCCTGCAACACACAAGTGGAATCGATCCCCGCGCCCATGGCCCACCAAGCCTTCCATCCTCCGGGGTCGGCGAATTGGTACCACATTTGTCTGGGAGGATAGCAGCACTGGCTCGATACATCAGTTGGCCACCGCGAGTCATTGTAAAGGCTAGACATGCATTCAATCACCTCTAAACGACGCTTAATGAAGTTGAATGCATAGCGCATCCTTCAGGGATTGATCGACGTCGAGAACTCTGTCTGTTTATTACCGGGAAAGTTATGTCTCAGTCGCAGTGATAAATTTAGTAGACGGTACATATATTAAAGAGGAGGCTTGATTTATTCTTACCTTTCCAAGGTTATCACCTTTGAGGATTACAGTCGCTCCATACGATCTGCACATTCCAATTTTCATCAGTGGAGCAAACACAGGCATAACCACTGTCACTGGAATGTTTAACTGTTGTCCATGGTAACTAAGAGCAAGTGCATGGTTTCCTGAAATGGTTTCTCTGTAGACGTCCTTGTAAATCAGTGAACGAATTCTTGCTTGTAACTATACATTACGCATGTTCTAACCGAGTTGCGATTCTGATATACCAGAAGCATTTTTTAGCCCTCGTAGTCAATGTATCATAGTGCAAAGAAACCCTATTCACGCTCGAATAGTAGCTGGTTGGACCATTGTTTTCGGAAAAATCAGGCTATGGTATCCCACAAGAAACAAATAGTTGATCTCAGACTAATCTGATTGAATTAAGTCTATCTAAGAAAGACTATAACACGAGCTGTAATCTCATCATTACAATACAAAAGGTTCCGATTGATTTTAATCCATGTCAACATCCATATAACTAAAGAGTAAAAACACTATATGCATGACTTGGTGTATGATTTAAAATGTTTCGATCAGCAAGGTGGTTTCCCTACCGGCACTGGCGGCAACCACTCCTCGTTCTCGTTCTTCACGATTCAGCTTCGTCAGGGCGTAACGAGCACCGCGTTCTTTAAACGATCCGGTCACTTGCATGTATTCTTTTTTGAAAAACAAGTCCATATCAAGTGTTTTCGACAAGTTGATAGACTTCTGAAAAATTTGCACTGCGGTTTCGAGTTTTCTATTCTCGCCTTTTCCACTTTCACGTGGATAAAATCATTTAGTCAAAAATTCCTAAGCAGACGAAGCACGACAAAACACTCATCGCTATGCTGCTATGAAAATTCACCAGCATATTTTTAGATAAGAAGGAGCTGAGAAAGTAGGAACAGTTATGAAATAAGAAGAAATGAAAGTAGCGATCAAAGGCGAAAACACTTACACTGCAAGGAGTTCTGACCACTCCATGTTTAATGTTGAAAGCTGCACTGGAAATATCCGAAAATGTGATCTTCTTCGGATGATCTAGATCGCAGTCGGGGTCAGTCGGTAGAACATCCGCTAGAGCGATCATCTTTTTAGAAAATTATGAAGGTATACAAAAAAGACTTTCGGAGGACCTTACGATATTACTACTATGTAAAATTCGTCTATGTGTAAAGTTGGTCGTAGATTGGAAGAAAAATACGTGACTTATGCACATATGTCTAAATAATTATTTAAGAAAGTGAGTGAATCGTGCAAACAAAATGCAATCGCCGGTTCGGTTCCTTCCTCTCGCCTATATAAGTTCCTGGAAGAATCCCATGATAACAACAGACCGGTAGCGAACTACTCTGCTGAGGACGGAAACCAAGTTTTTTCTTTAAATCAGCTACAAACATCTCCAAAACTGCAAATTTCAAGAGTGTTTCAAAACCAATTGTTTTTTTTTGATAAGGTTATACGAGGTTTCAAGTCGAGTGTCCACAGAAATTATGTTATTTCTGTTCTCTTGATGAGCAAGTACAAGGCTGTTATTTCATTCTTCACTTATGAACAAGCTGACGTTTTGATGGGCTTCGCTTTCCTTCGAGCCTGGAAAGGTCAACTTGACCGCAATCTACCCAACCGAACACGTCGGTAACCGAACAGAGAAAATGCTAAACCAAGACGTCGTCTACTCTACGTCGCCAATTAGTTCGCAACCGCCTGTATGACCGTCTGTGTGAAACAACAAATTGCGTAATTTGCCCTTACGGCAGGGACGGTGATTGCATGAGTTCAGGTACGATATACCTGATCTCTTGTAATAATTGCGGAGATGAATATATTGGCGACCTTCGTGTATCCGTATAAAAGAACACCTAGATGGCAAACGAAAACTAAGACGAAGCACCCCACTAGGCACGCATAGGATACAAAAGCATAGCGGAGACGATTTTGAAGTAAAAGTTAATATCCTTGCACAGGAGTCCAAAACACCAGCGCGAAAACTCCTAGAGGCTTTTTGGATCAATGCCAAAAACCCTACAATGAATAGCAGGGACGAATGCCCGGAGGTCATACGCGACCTGATCCCGTACGTTCGCATCGATTTTTGATGTGGGATGGCGCAGTCGTCAACAACGTGCGACTATAATCAGCTCTTCTAAACTTCCTCATTGGAAGTCACGAAAAAGCGGTGGTTTTTTCGAGAAGTTGTTGATCGTGTAATTACCAAAGAGTCTTTCGTCTTTGTGTAAGTGTTATTGAAGCGTTTGGNATCCGTATAAAAGAACACCTAGATGGCAAACGAAAACTAAGACGAAGCACCCCACTAGGCACGCATAGGATACAAAAGCATAGCGGAGACGATTTTGAAGTAAAAGTTAATATCCTTGCACAGGAGTCCAAAACACCAGCGCGAAAACTCCTAGAGGCTTTTTGGATCAATGCCAAAAACCCTACAATGAATAGCAGGGACGAATGCCCGGAGGTCATACGCGACCTGATCCCGTACGTTCGCATCGATTTTTGATGTGGGATGGCGCAGTCGTCAACAACGTGCGACTATAATCAGCTCTTCTAAACTTCCTCATTGGAAGTCACGAAAAAGCGGTGGTTTTTTCGAGAAGTTGTTGATCGTGTAATTACCAAAGAGTCTTTCGTCTTTGTGTAAGTGTTATTGAAGCGTTTGGCCTAATGGATTGTATATCAGTATGCCCTTCCAGGCTCTGAAGAAGGCGATACTGCCGAAACGTCAGCTAGCGTTGTATTGTATTGTGTTTTTATGGAATTAAATGTATGCCGTTTAAAAACCACGCGATTGCTGAACAAGAAAACGACACATTCATATTCCAATGCCGAGGTTAAGAGAAAGTCGATCCTGGGAGCTAAACCAAGATTTCAGTTACATTGAACACAGAATAGGTTTTTCGCATTCATGGATTTCCATGAGTATGTTACGTAGAGACCAACCACAGAGAATTCACATGAAGGCTTAATGTGCCTCTCACATTAAAATATCGCTCTTAGAAACTGTGTGGGAACACAAGTGATTACGACGCATTCCACCCTGCAGTTCATTTTCGGATTCTTGGAATTTATCGAGAACGCTTCGAGAGTTTTGCGCGAAGGTATTTGCACAATATTGCTACTCCAAAATCTTCCCCGCTATGTTTTTGTGTTCTATACGCTCCTAGTGGAGTATTTGACTTAACTTTAAGTTCACCGACTAGGTGTTCCTTAATACGGACGCAGAGTTGCCTACTCGTTTCGCCAATGTGTTCTTTCTCGGACGCTTTAGAAGAGATCAGATGAACCGTATTGGAACTCATTCATCACCATGTGTACATTTTGTGTACATCACCGTTAGGGCATATTTTACAATTTCATTTGGAAACGCAACGTACTCTGACTGTTCATTCAATAACTTAAAATATTTATTCATATCATCTTACGTTGAGCAAACGACAAAACAATCATCTCTAACTGCCACGACCGACTTTCTATTAACCTCGGCATTGATCAAGTAATTTTCTTCGTATTTTTGTTGAGCAAACGCGAGGTGTTACTATTCTTCGTTCACGATTAAGCTGACGTTTCGGCGGATTTCGCCTTCTTCAGAGCCGCTTTCTATGAGGTTTCCACTAAGTATGTCACGTAGAGACCAACCGAACAGAAATCACGTGGAAGTATGATGTATCATCTGTATATCTATGGTCGAGTAATGGCCAGAGATCGGTTGCTGGTGCTTCTACCTTAGACATAAATCCAATGGCACGGCTTGCTGCCAGTGTCTGTTCCTTTGGCAACCGTCTCCCTATTATATTTCTTATTCGTACGAATGAATCTTCGTAATCGCATTGAACACAAGGCGGTGGAGAAGTAAAGTGACATCATCGAGTTGTTCTCTTTTGTAAAAGATGCTTCTCGATCTATTGGTATCAAAATGTCTTCAGAGTGACGGCGCATGAACGCAAAAGTCAAGTTGAAACTAGCGTGCATCTAGTAAGGCAATATTTTCGTGGCGACTTTCAACCAATTTTCGGAGCATAGGTGATTAATATCTCCGTGTGTGTTCCTATGCTTACACAAGATTGCGAAAGGGCAAAGGATAGAGCGTGCTCGACAGAGTCGATGGAGTTCCCTTCTCACAGACATGTCTGGAGCCACTACCCAACTTTTGGCGATTGATGAGTTGGTGAAACTGGGGCGTTGAATCGAACCAACGATCACGTGTTAGTTGAAGGGCACCATTAACCAGTTAACTAGCAAATTCTCCACGAGTTTTTTTTTTAAAATAAAATCTCGCTGTGGGCAACGGTTCTGACACCTTCGCCTTCTTTACAGCTACATGATCATAGTCCAGTGTCCAGAGTCGAGTGCATTGTGATCTGGGCCTTCGGAGACATATTAAGTCTACTGCAATGGAATACTAAAGATGCCGAAATATTGATCGCAACAAAGTTTTGTAGCAGCCTCAGGCAAGTTTACCGATAAATTATATTCCATGGCTAAGTGAAAATTTGCATGAAAATGAAGCCAGCGTTTTTTTTCGTAGCAGAGAATTCCGATATTTGGTCGATTAATGGTTTAAAGCTTAATGAGTTTCGAGAATTTTCTGGCTGGTAAAAACGTAAGATGAGGTCGCGGATTATATTGCCGGCTCGCCGACAAGAAGTGTTCATAACCTTCATTTGGTGCAGATTCGGTTTGAGGAGTATTTTAGGCTCATAATGGATTCTTACATAAAAGGATAAAAAAGGATAAAAACCTAGGCGTTGATCAATCCCTGAGTGATGCGCCATGCATTCAACTCCATTAAGCATTGTTGGAGGTAACTGAATGCATATCTGGCCTTTACAATGACTCACGGTGGCCTACCGATGTATCGAGCCAGTGCTGCTATCCTCTCAGACAAATGTGGTACCAATTCGCCGATCCCGGAGGGATAGGAAGCTTGGTGAGCTATGCGCGCAGGGGCCGATTCCACGTGTGTGTTGCAGGTCGCCTCCAACCACTGCGCCACACGCGCACTTCCTTACATAAATTATTTAAACCTTTTCCGTCTTCTTCAGCGTGAGAGCCTAAAATACAAACAAGGGACGATTAATCAGTGGAAAGAAAATGAAGAGCATTAAGTTGTGAAAATGCACTGAAAATGATGAAAAACATTGTGGACTTAAGGCTTGCTTTGAAATAAACTTTGAATTTTGAAGGTACGAAAATTATCAAAACCAGGTCAAATCGTTTGAACTGAGAGTAATCTAGTTGTCGTGTTATCAGAAAACCACACGTTCTTCCTAATCTTGTTGCTTCAACCTCGCTTTTCAAATATGTGATAGGAACATGAAGGATTACCGATAGGAATGAAGATTGTAACAAAGAGGAATAATTATTGATCAAAATGCAAAAAAATCAAATTTAAAATAGATTTTGCTGCACTCACAATCGCACTCCTTTCCAACAACACCATTTTTTTCGTTTTCGTGGTTAGTAGAATCAATCTTTTCGAGAATTTCCTCATCCATCCTTCGTATCTAAAACAATGCATTTCAGAAACGTCGAACTTCCGTTTATCTTTCTTTCCACCAGAAAATCCTTCCCAGTAACGAGTTGTTTCCAGAAACACTGCAGAACTGTAATTTTGACGCTATTTTATACAAACCCATACGCTTTGGAAAAATTGATCTTTAAGGCTTTTCCTGAGACTGAGTGTTTTGCAGGCGACACTCATTTTTGCAAATTTTACAAGATCCTCAGCTACGTCTAGGTTTATTAAGAAAAGTGTTGTGGAATACGAATTGAACTCTACCACCATTTCATGACCGATGAACTCAGGAATTTTTTCTTTTTTTTCTTTGACCGCCAAAAAGTTATCTCTGTTTGCTCATGTCATTAGAAACGCTTTATTAGGCGGCGAAATTTAAAAAAAACTGAACACAAACGAAAAGCGCTCTGTCACGGCTTTCTCCTTCAAATCATAGATGTTCTAAGGTTGCATACAGTTGCATTCACGTATTTTTATCTTTGTAGTGAAAGAATGAAAGGATAAAGCTCTCGGCATCGATCAATCGTTCAGAGATGCACCATGCATTCGACTGCATCAAA